AGCGAATCTCCTGCCTCCACCTCCCAAAAAGCTGGGACCACAGGCACCTGCCACAATGCCTGGCTATTTTTTGGTTGCAGCCATCATTGTTTGGTGGGCCCAGGCTGGATTCGAACCTGCCACCTTAGGTTTATGTGGCTGGCGCCTTAGGCACTTGAGCCCCAGGTGCCGAGCCAACTTTATATTTCTTAAGATTTCTCACACTCACACGTGGTCTTCAGAACGTAGTCTGGATCATATCAGAGCCCCCTACCCTTATGCCCTCACTTAACCTAATTACTTCTCTATAGGTCTATCTCCACTGAGCCACAGGCACTGCCCAATATAGGTCTATCTCCAAATACAGTCACCTGGGGTTAGGGCCCAATGTTTGTTCTGCCCCCTTGAGTGTAAATCATGTGCATTATGGTCCTTTGCTGTGTATTTTCCAAGAATAAAACCATGTTCTTGCTGAACCACAGGACAGACATCAACTTCTATACATTCAACACAGATACAATATTTTTATCTATCCTGCCATCTGTATTCCAGTTGTGTATCCTTCATAGCATTTTCTTCTCCAGTACAGGATCTATCTGGTGAAAACATGTTTTCCAAAATGGCATCTAGGGTCCTCCATAAATAGAACTCTGGGATTATCTCTTTCTGGTTCCAGGCTCCCACCTTCTCACCCCCCAAGTTCAAATCGCTGTGTCTTCATTCCTGCTCCTTGGTGTGCTAGAACCCTATTTGCCATTAATTAAAAAAAAAAAATCTACTTTCATCTTTCTTTCTTACTGCCTTCCAAAGCCCAGCTGGAAGCCAAGGGGCTTTCTCCTAAACCCTCCCTGCATCTTGTACCCTAGGCAGACTTGAAATATCTTAGTTCCTACTCACCAGTGCACATCTGTCTCCCCACCCCATGCTCTGTCATGTCTAAGCACTTTGAAAGAAGGGGCCACGTTTTATTGGTCTTTGTATCCTCAGAGCTTAAACATAGTATCCGTCACTCAGGAAGTGCTTTTTAAGCATTTATTAATCAACAGAGGCGTATATCACTGTAAAGCACTGTGGAAGGGAGCTGTCAGGAGTCTGACCCTGAAGAGTTTCAAGAAGAAGGAAAATGCTCCTCTAAGCAGGGACCTTAAAATGGCTCTAGGGGAACAGGGAATTGGGGGGGGTAGCATGGCGTGTGATCTCTCAAAGCTGTTTTGGTTATATTAGTGTGGTGAAATCAGGCATAACCTTTATATTTCTTAAGATTTCTCACACTCACATGTGGTCTTCAGAAGAACATAGCAGACTATTTATTTTTAAATTTTGAACTAATTTAGATTTATAGAAGAGCTGCAAATATAGCACAGAGTTGCTTGAAATCCTTCATCTAGCTTTCCCTAATACTGACAATTTATATAACCACAGAACAGTGATCGAAACCAGAAATTAGCATAGATACCATACTGCAGCACTACAGACCTTATTCAGAGGTCACCAGTTTTTTTACTGGTGTCCTTTTCTGTCCCATGATCCTATCTAGGATCCCATGTTGCCTTTCATTGTTATGTCTCCTTAATTACCTCCAATCTGTCCCTCCCCCTGGCCCTCGGCCTGTCCTTGTCTTGTGGAATCTTGACACTTTTAAAGAGGACTGGTAAATTGTTTTGTTTTGTTTTTTTTTTTTTGAGACGGAGCCTCAAGCTATC